GGAACATCTCAAGACTCAGTTATTGGTCATCTTCTCTTTGTCTTTTGGACGCTTTGAGTAGTTTCATGACTTTATTTCTCCTGAACTTCAGACTCATATACCCATCTGTTTATTCTGTAGCTTCACTTGCATGGCTAATAGACGTTGAAACTCAGTGTGCCCCACACCAATGATCAATGCCACCTCCATCCAAAGCCTTCATCATCCCAGATATCAGCAACTCCATCCTTCCATCATCTCAGATCCCATCCTGGGAATTATCATGGACTCCTTGTTTCTCTAACACCCCACATCCACATTAGGAAATTTACAATGAATCCAGAATCTACCACTTCTCACCGTCTTCACTGCGGCCACGCTGGTCTAAATAACCATCAGCGCCTGCTCGGATTACTGGTCTACCTGCCTCTACCCTTTCGTTCTTTCTTACTATACTCAGCAAAGCAACCAGGAAAATCCTTTGAAACAAGTAATATCATGTACCTCTTGTGCTCAGGCTTCTCTGTGGCTCCACAGTTCACCATGCGTAGAAGCCAAGATTCTTACTATGGCCAACCCTGCCCAGCCTGACCCCATTATCCTTCTGACTCCATTTCCGTCTATTCTCTGCCCTCCTCACTCAGTTGCAGCCACACTGGCTTCTTTGGCATTTCTTGAACATATCAGGTATGAGGGCCTTTGTTATCACTGTTCTTCAGCCATTTCCTTGGACATCTGCATGACTAAGTCCCTCACTTCCTTCAATTCTTTGCTCAAATGTCATCCACTGCCCATCCTGTTTAATGCTGAACACCACCACCTTCTGTATCACTCCTGACACCCTTGTTCTACTCTATTTTTAGTTTTTTCCATGGAACTTAAAAATATCTAGGGTCCCCTATAACTTATTTACTGTTCATTGTTTATTGTGAGTCTTGCTCTGATAGAATGTAAGCTCCTACAAGGACAGGGACCCTTGTCTGTTTTGTTTACTGGTATATCCTAAATGTTCATGAATGTGCCTAGCACATACTAGATTATCAATAAATATTTTCCAAATTAATGAATTCTAAGCTTCCTTTGGCCTAAAGAGTCTTCTGATTTTAAGACTGTTGAGAAAATCCCAAGTGCCTCAGCGAATCCCACCGATCACTCACCTCTGCCACCAGGTGGCAGTCTTTGCCCTCAATACCAACTCCAGTAGTCTCAAATTTGAGAAATACTTGAGGTAACCTGCTTGTTTTCTTTGGGCCAAGACAACCTGCCCTGTAGGACTTGTCAGCAGGAAAATTCATCAAGTTAGTGTAATTACCCATCATGATCTAAGTGCTTTTAGGAACATGGATTTAGAGAGTGTGAGCTTTCCCTGGAGAGCAACACATTATGAAAGTGATGTTGCTTCATCGACGGGGACCTGAAATATAATTAGTAGTGGGAAGGGTGTAGGTTTAGAGAGAGATGACAGTATAGTAGGCTGACAACACACCAAATGGATTTAACCACCAAATGTATCAGCTTTTCCACCTTAGCATGGATGTCACAGCATAAGACTTTAACGCTTCCTGCCCCATCTCCTCTTACCCCATTCACTGTATCCGTCACCTGGGAATAGCTATGCCCTATTCTGGTTTTCACCTTCTCACTAGATCTGGGGAAATGTCAACCCCCCTGGGGTCTGAGGGCCTCATTTCTGTTAGGAACAACCTCATTATGAGAATAAGGCCATGAGTTTATTTTCCTGTGGGAGGCAGCATCGTTTGGAAGAAGGAACAAAGTTTGGGATGCAAGGCAGCTCTGTGCTCACTGTTTGGCTTTGGAACAGTTACAAAACTCTCTAAGCTCCAGTAGCTCCACAACAGGGGTTGTGAGAGCATCCTCCCCAGAGGGCTAGTGTGAGCTGTAGAGAGGATGAGTCTAAATTAGGCACTTGGCGCCGTCTCTGGCACCTGGCGGACGCGCTCTCTGCCTCTTTCTGGTACCACCTCCTGCCTCTGGCCCCTGGGCAGGTCAGAGGTAGGGAAACGGGTGAGACATGAGCAACAGGGCATGACTCGTGCAGGATGGGGTGAGGAACCATCTAGCGTCTGTTGGGAGGAGCAGAGTAGTAGGAAGGGAAGGACAGATCATTGACCTTGAATCCTGACATTTGTGCCCAGCACACACCACAAGTGGAAAACTGCAATCAGGCTAAGACTCCAGCTCAGCGAAAAACTTACTAACAAGTGGAGACTTTCAGAAGCTGGTCCTGGAGCTTCTGCCAGGCATAGACACAGACTCAGGCTTGCCGATCTCCCCAGGCCTTTGATCCTGTACATCCCAGCCAAGATCGCCCGTTACCGTCAATGTCCCCAACCCAAAACCACCAGGAACACACTGCAGTTGACTCAGGGCGGGTTTTCTGGCTCTTTGCAAGAAGACTGAGCACTCACTGTGGGGACCCACAGGAGCAGGGAGGGTTCCGTCCAAAGATGTTAGAAGGGACTTATAGGATCTGGGCTTGTTCAACTAAAATTTTGAGGAAGGTTCAAGGAGGTTGACTTTGTGTGGATGCTGCCAGGAGGCAGAGGAGATGGGGGTAGTTCTGTGGTAGGTGTCCCCATAAATTGTATCCATGACGCTGGAGGAATGTCAATGGAAGAGAAGCAGCAGGCACTATATTTGCTACGATAAAAGGATGTTTGGTCATTTTTTGTGGTTTGGACCTTGTTTTCATCCGTTGACATTGTGGTCTGTGTGGTCACCCAGTGGCCATATCTGATGTTTGCATTGTGAATTATATTCAACAAAACACCAAGGCCTCTGGGCGAGTGCCAGGCTGGCTCCTGAGTGCTGGGGCCTGTGGTTCTCTTTCTCGCCTGCAGCATCCACGCACTACCTTGCACACTCTAGGTCCCAGGGAGGAAGGAACGAGCAGCTGGCCTGTGATGACTTTACTTAATATGGGAAGAGGGATGATCCTGGGGAAAGAAAGGAGGGCAGGTGAGCTGGTCTAGTCTCGTTGTCAACTGGACTTCCATGAAGTGACATTTACCAGAAAAAAGAGACCTGTCTCTGATTCTCTCTCTATTTTTTAAAAAAGAATATGTTTTTATTGATTTTCAGAGAGAGAGGAAGGGACAGGGATAGAGAGATAGAAACATCAATGAGACAGAAGTATTAATCGGCTGCCTCCTGCATGCTCCCTACTGGGGATCGAACCCGCAACCCAGGCAGCCTAACTCGAGGGCCTGCATCCCTGCCACAGACAAAAGGGCTCTCCCCTGTTTCCCGTCCCAGAAAGAGCAGGGGGCAGGGGGCTTCTGTGGAGGCCTGCGCCATGCTAAGACTCTCGGGTTCCTTGGCTTCTCTCAGGAAGCTGGTCTGCGTCCTGGAGGCAGAAGGCCCCGGGAGCGGCCTGCTCAGCCAGCGCTCTGCAGCGGGAGCAGGAAACAGGCGCCTGGGCTTCCCGTGCCCAGC